GCGTTTATCCATTTGGACCGACATAAAGGCTTGTGTTTTTCGACATTTGAGATTGTCTCACTCTTGTGCGGTGGGTGTTTCGCTGGGCGTGAAGAGAATATGAAAACCATACACATACATTATTCAGCATCTAGCGAGACTCCTGGGATCTTTTGTACTTCTACCTGTCTGCTTAAAAAGCAGCCGTTGGATGTGATTCCCTTTTCCTTTGTGAATTGTTGTTGTTATATTAATACACTCGTGTTTCTGTTCGACTATTTCCATTACAATATCTGCATCATAAAATATTCTTATCTCTCCTTTCTTAGGTTGTCTCCATCCAAACACCAAGATCTGTCAGATTGAAATCCCGCTGCCCGGTAGAGTTGAGCCACCTGGACCATTTGGTTTTGACAGTGAAAAGTGTCCCAGACACCATCAGCTTCTACACCGCTGTCCTTGGCATGGAAGCCATCACTTTCAAGGTACATTAATTCAAGGAACATTAGGTTCTTTCCATGGACTGGAAACTGAACCAGTTGGATTTCTGACTAAATAATAAAGTTCTCTCAGACAGTAGTATTGTAACCGAGTGAAACATACAGAAAAATTATGGCTGTCAATTGATTAAGGTTTTAATTAGATTAATTAAAGGGTAGCCATGGATTAATCATGATCACAATTACTCACAATTGTCATTGTCAGCCCCATCCAGCCAACCAGGACTTATTACAAAAAAAGTTAATATACAGTTTGTTAAATGATGGCAATAATAATTTAAAAAAATAAAATAAATACAACCTCTTGACAATACATACATTTATACTAATTTGAAAAACATTCAGTGATCAATTAAAAATAAACATCTTAAACAGAAAGAAACGAATCTACACTGAACAAAAATCCATAAATATTAGTTGAAATCTTAAATCAATTATAATGGAAGATTAGTTCAAAGAAATTGCTCACAAAAGCCAAAAAAACGTCCATTTGAATTAGTCTGGTGGATAGAACGTCCACTAGATGGCAGACTTTGATATGGAATCAGCCACCTCGTTTGCAGACCGTGCATTCAAAGAGCTCTGCATTTTAAAGGGGAACCGCAAGGCTCTGGGATTTGGCAAACAGAAATTGAACCTTCACCAACGTGGTCAGGAGTTTGAGCCCAAAGCCAAGCATCCGACCTGTGGCTCTGCGGACCTGTGCCTCATCACCACCACCCCGCTGACTACAGTCGCTGCTCACTTGAAGGTACTTCACTCAACAACAGCATGCTGCTCGGAATGAAAATGGCCAGTCCTTAATCCTGTTAGCGGTCTGCCGTGAAAACCACTCCACGTCTGACTTGACTCTGGATGATGAAGATGCCACTGCGGTTTGTGACTCTTCCTCTTCTCTGCAGGATTGTGGAGTGAAGATAGAGGAGGGACCAGTGGAGAGGAGTGGAGCCATGGGTGCCATCATATCTCTGTACTTCAGAGATCCAGACCACAACCTTATTGAAGTGTCAAATTATAACCAGTCCACACCAGCCGGGTCTTGTTGACTGCTATAAAACCTTGAAGAAGTACAGGAAAAATATACAGTACATGGGCCGTGCAAAACCAAGTTATCTTTAGTACTTTGACTTAATGAAAGCCTGTGTTTTTATGTGACTTATGTAAATAAAACTTGTATAAATCTGACTAAATGAGTCATTTTTAATCTTTTTAAACATGAATCTAATTTTCAAATACATTATTTCACATGTAAAACAATTAAAACCTTCATGCTCACTCCAGAATGTACTTCCTGGCTTCTGCTAATGCTAATGCATTAAAGCTGCTGAAGCTAACCATCGACAGCAACAATCAGAACTGAGCTCTTATTTTCCCACTTTGTTAAAACACTATAATAATGAACATACACAGTCCAATAACTAAGAGATGACCTCACAGCTTCTGTGAACATAATACGGCGGCCATATTGAAGGAGAAACTGCAGTAAAATACTGAGGATCGCAAACACCACGTATGTTTGTGAACCTGTCAATCAGTTGTGGAATTCCCAAAAGTTTTCAGGAATTAGATCTTTTATCGTCAATGTTTCTTTATCTGCATTTCCTATTTCCTCTGATGACTACATGTTATTGTATTCATCATATAATTCAGGGTGGTGACATTATTGCACCATGGCTGCCATTCCACTGAAGCCTTTTTTGAAATGTTTATCTAAAGATGAAAGTCTTTTCCCACACGGAAACATTTTGAAGTAAAAACAAACAGAATGGCTAACCATTAGCCTTCTGCGCTCATTTAATTATTTACCAATGTGTATTTATCTGCGCTCATTTAATTATTTACCAATGCTAGCCTTGTGTCTAACAACCGTAGGTGATATGTGCCGCTGAGCTGTTGTCCACTGATGCTAATTCAAACGTTATCTGCATTGTGCTGTTGCCACAGGTGATCAGTGATGGAAACTTATGTTTGAATACAACATTACAGCCAACACAGCATTAAAGTTTGATTAAAAATGAATGCCGTTTGCTGTGGTGGCTAGCATTGTGGAATTATTTTGGTGATTTCCTTTTCCCCCAATCATCCGATGTTTCCCAATCATCCAATTTCTTAAGAATAAGGTAGACCTTGAAGTCATTTACTATTAATATTTCCTGTCTACAGTTAAACTATTGTACATTTTATTTTTATCTATAAAAGTTTTGCCTAGGGCCTGATAATTTCCATGGTTACGCCTTCCTCTTGTGTACTCTTTCTCGAAAACATGCTACGAACTTTTTGTTTTATTGACGTAGTGAAGACAGTCTCAGTTAGAAGATTTTTTTGAATTATTTTCTGAATTAGGCCTCTCAGGTTTGTCATGTGACTGTTGCCCATTGATGTGTGTGTGAGGATGTGGTGTTGCATGTTTGCGGAGGTGGGAGCGCCCCGTCATAATCTTTTTTGTTTTCTGCAACTGCTTGATAATTAATTTACTGAACTACTATTTGTTTTTGGTGTCAAAACCTTTTGTAATCAATAAACCAATACTAGATAAATAATAAATAATAAAAAAATGGTTTAATCTTTGTTAAAGTTTATTTTTATTTTACAAGACACATATATTACATCGTTGTTAAAATAAATTTAAAGAATCAAAATCCCTTTAAATACAAATCTGGACAATTCATTTTCTTTTAAACAGATGCACAACATTACTGTAGTTACATTCATAACATTTCATTTCCCAAAGCTGACTGATTGCCAAGTTTCAATTTCTGTATTTACAATATTAACTTATTTGTGTATAAATAACATAATCATTATAGATACATTTGCTTTACGTCAGCTTTTATTGCAGTTGTCTCAGTAGAACACCACAGTCTCCGATTTTGTCCAACTCCTCCACCACATCTATCAACATCTCCACCTTCTCTGATGGTAGCACCATCCCTGCGTTGCTTCTAAACTTCTTTGCCAGGCTCTCATTGGTCAGAGGGTTACGCCAGTGACCGTAGAAGGTGTCACAGCGTGCCGTTAGAATGTATCCGCCAGCAAGTGTCACCTGCACTTCGCTGTACATGCTGTTGAAATTGGCTGGGTTGTCACAAGGATGCTCGAGACGAACGCGACCGAGCAGAGCCTGCAGCTCGGGGCGTTTCATGGAGGCCGGGGTGAATGACCGCACTGTGACCTCACCGTCGAGGAGAGCGCTGCAGGCGTTGAACTGGAAGGAGTGGCGTGCCTCGTGCTCCGACTCCGGGAAAGGCCGGTTGATGTACTTGGATTTGGGGACTCTCAGCAGGATTTCCTGGATCTGAGCTGGGAGGGTGGGACCGGCGTTGACTTCTATGAGACGCTTCTGGATGGAGGCTGCAGCGTCTGCCACCCAGTGCATGCCTAGATGGGCGGGGAAGCGCTTGAAGCCCATGTCTTGTTCCTCTAGCAGGAACACATGGCCGTCGTCACTGGGTGACTCTAGATGCTGTGATGCGTAGTCTTCGTAAAAGGCGCTGAAGCCTGACACCCCCGCCACGTCGTCCAGGATGAGGGCGCTGCCCTTTAGATCTCGGGAGGCCAGCAGAGCCGCCTCCAGACCCAGACGGGATGCGTTGCCGATGTGGAGGGGCTTAGACTGAGTGGCCGCATTTGCCATGGGGGCTCCTGACAGAGAGGCGGCGATGGCCAAGGCGTGACTGCACTGGGTGGGATTGAGGGACAGGAGTCGAGCACTGGCAGCTGCACTTCCCATGGTTCCTACCACAGTGGGAGGGTGGAATCTGGTGATGTGTGAGAGAGAGAAACCATAGGTCTGGTTAACCTGAAGAACATTTTCTCAGTCAGAGCTACTGTTTGTAGAAACAGCTTCTAATTCACACTGTTCTCGTCTCTGGGGGAACACTGTATTCCATGGTGTGAATAGAAACAGATTTTTGAGAGCTTTGAATCGACGAGAAAAAACAAAAAAACACACATTATGCAGAGGGTCATTGAACTCGCCAAATTGATTCCTGTGTGGTGTGATGTTTTACTTTGCACGATTAATTGTGCTAACAGCTCCCACTGGGCCTCTGCTGCCCTCTGCTGTCCCTAAGATGGACATTAAAAAACACATCTTTCACAGCTCATTGACAGCAACAGCTCTCTGAACGACAAAGTCCAACCTTGGTCTCTGTCGACCCGTGTGGATGGTTTGTTTACCATGTAGAATAGGAATAAAAAATGTTTTTAAGAAGAAACTAACTCCTGGAAATTAGTTTCTTCTTTGATGTACAAACAGGCGTTCACCTCTTGGGGATGTTGCGGGCCTCGTTGGAGAATCTCATCAGTCGCCCCTGGATCTCGATGCCCACGTTGAAAGCCAGCATCAAGTCCAGGCCGCTGGGTTTGCTGTTTGGCGGCATCATGTCACTGAGCGCTAACAGAGCTGGGAGGACTGCTCCTGAGGGGTGAGTGGCAGGATGCCACGTGTCATCAAAGTCCATTGAATGAGTCTGGGAAAAAAAAGATTCAACAATTAGAGTCAAATGTGGAAATGAACTTGACATTGTGATAGTGTGACACAGCAGTGGAAATCCAATTTGGGAGGGTGAAATTTGGCATTTTCATCAACCCTTCCTGAGGTTAACTGTCCAGACTGTAAAGTGTGGAAATAATCCAGTCTGAATCTATTTGTAATTTTCTGGTGTCCTTGTTTAAATGGTGACACACAGCTGTTCCAACCCGTTTCACTCACCGCCACTCCGTTGACAAAAGCAGCCAGTGTTGGCGAGAGTTTGGTTCCCTGGCGTCCGTACACAGAGCTGGTGTCGTCAGGAGCGTACATGCACTGAGAGGGGAAAGACGGAGACGGGTAAACAAGGATGAGCCACTAGGCTATAAAAAGAAAAATTCAGTCAAAGAACTTCCCTGGACAGAGGCAATAAACATGACATGACCAGTTAATGTTGGCCAAATGAGTTTCCTTGTGAGTGTTGGCTGTAAAAACACCTGTTACACCTCCTTAGTTTATTCTTCAAATCTTCACATCATTCATCACCACTCCTGCATTTGTGCGGATTAAGGCGGACTGTTTATCCTTCAGCTGTTTCCTTTTATTAACTCCACACCTAATCGCAGATTAAATTACTTTTGTTCTCCTGCCTCACCTGGCAGTGCTGCAAAGCCAGTCCAAACACTTCTGTTGTGCTTCCAATGAGTCCAACCCCAATGCTGTCCAGCACCATTCTTTTGCTGCGCTGCAGAACTTTGGGGGACAAGTGCTGGGGCTTAATGTCACTGATGAACTTCCCAAAACTGGCCGTGACTGTTTCCTCTGGTGCCGGCTGCTTTAAGACTGCAGGAGAAAAACAGGAGCGCAGTAGACGTGATTAAAGTTACAAAGCAAAGGAAGTATTTGAATCTGAAGTCGGAGTCAGATTGTACCGTTTACCTGCTAATGCTGACGTGTGCATCCCTCTGACAGCCCAGGGTGTTCTGAAGGTTTTCTACCAAATACAGAGCATGGATTTAAAATATGAATATGTACTTCAGACATCTGTTATTGACTTTTGTTTTACAATACACCAGTTGTTTTTGCTTTGAATCATAGGTGTAATATACAGTATATATATATATATATATGCCAACATAAATACACATATATGTGTGTATATATATACATACATATACACATATATGTATATATATAGATTATATATACAATATATATTATATATGTGTATTATATCTATGTATATATATTATTTAAAAAGTGTCAAATATTGGTGGGCATTTTATGGCAACATTCCGATAAAACTCAAAATAATTAAAAAGAAAACATGTTTAAAGAACTTTTCAATAGAGATGGAGACTGAAAATGGATTTCCAAATTTTGTTGATAAATTTTGTCTCTGGTAAAAAGTGACAAAACAATTCAGTCTTTTAAAAAAAAAGTCTTTTTGCATATATACATCCATATATACATCCATATATAAATCCATATATACATCCAGTTTTCAGTTCAGTTGGTGCTGTGATATTTTCCTGGGTGGAGAGACCCTCACCTGCAGTGTGGAGATCATGGCTTGTCCTGTCTTTGTTCTACTTCTTTTCCTCTGGAGTTTCTGTGGTCGACAGGTTGTCGGAGATGCTGATGCTGTTTTGGATGTACAGGGCAGCCTGTATATATAGTCCTGGAGTCACAATGACCAGTGATACCAGCCGTGGGCTGGGAATAAGGAAGAGGTCATGTTGTCCACACCCCAAATCTCTTCTGGGAATTAAGGAGGAATTTCCAGTGGTCCATCGTTGCCGTCTTCAGTTATGTTGATCCGGCAGGAAGAAAAGGAGTATTACCTGATTTATATAACTGTGAATTCAGTTCAGGTTGCANTATAGACTCCTCCTACTCCAGAGTAAAGACTATTTAAAAAACAAACTTTATTCCTTCTTCAGAACAAGTCAACAGTTCATCTGTGTGAAGATCTTCAACAGGTAAGAGGTTATGATTTTTCAAAGAAGAACTTTATTACAAGTTTTGCAATTATGGTAATTATTAGGTAAATAAATGAACTTGATTAGGTGCTTTTTATGACTGATATCTATGCTGAATATTTAGAATAAAAAATACTGATGTAAAATATGTGCATAGTAATGGTATTATAGAGAAAAAAAACGGTTTGGTAGTAAATTGTTTCTCAGTATCAGTGTCACAATTTACTACAGTGTCACATTTCCTGGAGTTGAGCCATAGTTTTGTTATGTAAGAAATCATAGAGAGATAAACCTGAGACAGTACAACCATACTGATACGGTCACGTTTTATCATCGACGTACGAGCTTTGCTGTTTAAATATTTATTTGATATAATTTCTCTATGAAGAACGACTCAACATTCACTGAGGTTCCTGTTCTTTGTTGTCCTAGTGTTGGACACGATGACATCACCAGAGGGATTCCCAGCCAGTTTCTACAGTGAACCTGGAGTTTTGGGATTGTTGTCCAATGGGATCAGTGCGTTCCTTGTCCTTCTGCAGAACTTCAACGCCGCCAGGACTGGAAACGCCCCGGTGGAAGTGGAAAACATCCTTGCAGGTTAGCACTATACAATATTTTAAAAACTTAAAAAGAAAAAAAAAAAGGATTTAATGTACGGCTGGCGTCTAGTACTAGTACCATGTATGTTATATATATATAAGTGTCATTTATATAAATATATATATACACATATACACATATATACAAATGTATGTATATATTTATATATATGTACAATATATGTATATCTATGTGTATTATATGTAATAATTAAGGTGATATTACAGGTGATGCTTTATTATGTTTTGTTTTTTGCCATTTCTTCCTTTTAAATAATAATAATCTTATTTATTTATTTATTTTTTTCCTAGGGGTTCACCTCATTCTGATTGGTGGTATTTGTCAGCTGGTGGCAGGACTACTTTCCTTCAGAAAGTACGACCACCTGAGTGGCACCGCCTTCATCGGCTACGCTGCTCTTTGGGCCAGTTACGGCTCCACTAGAATCTTCTTTGGAGCCTTAGACCAATCTCCAAACGCTGCTCCGTATGAGTCAAACCTAACGACCAATCTGTCTCTGTCCACGAACACCGTGAGCAACAACTCCCTGTATTCAGCCCTACAGCCCCCAGTGTGCTACCTATGCCTGTCCATGAAAGAGTCGGCCATCGCCGGCCTGGTTCCCTACATTCTCCTGTCCTTCCTCCTAGCCTTCTGCTCTGCCACAGTCAACTACATCATGCCGTTTGTTTTTGGAGCCATCACTGCCGCCCTGATTTTCGAAGCAGTGAGTCTAGTTTCTGGCTCCTGGGCTCTGGTGGTGTCGGGGGTCCTGGAGTTGCTCATCCTGATCTTTGCCATCTATGGTTCATCGGTGCTGCTGCTCAAAGGTCTGACTCAGCGTCTCATTCTCAAAGGCTTCGGTACGCCTCTCTTCAACGTCCTTCTGCTGGGGACCGCCAACTCTGCCGGAGCGCAGAGTGGCGGACAAGAGAAGAAGAAAAACACCAAATATGCCGAACCCATGGCTCTGGGTTTCTTCTGTGACACGATCGCTCCCTTCATTTTTGCCTTCTACAGCTTCGGGTATATCAAAGCCTTCGGTTTAGGAACTGCTTGGGTCTCGATCATCGCAGCTGCCCAACTGCTCTCAAGCTACTACGCTCATCTGCGACAAGATGGCTACCACACGACCAAGTTTGGTCTCCACGCCACGTACTGGCTGGTGAAGGCGTGGGATGAGTTCGTGGTGTCTGTTCTCACAGTGGACAGCGGCGAAGTGGACGCCGGGAGGGAGCCCATGATTGGGAACTGGTTCTTTGTGGTGGCAGGTTTGGTGCTGTGTGTGGCCAGCCTAAACATGGACGTCCTGGAACTGATCCACAATATGTTCTTTGTCCTGCTGACGGTCTCCACCGTCCAACAGATCCCTCTCCAGGGTTCCTACATCTTCTTCGGCGTGGCCTGCTCCCTCTTCGCCGCGGTCTCCCTGTACGGTACCTTCTCACGCCTCATTAACACCATAGCAGAGAAGTCTCTGATCCCCGTAGGCCCACAGCCCGTCTCCACTGAACGCCTACGGAAAGCTTTCACGTGCTGCAAACATAAACCGAAAGGACAGGAGGTAGTGCCCCCCACAGGCCAGACGTCAGATCCTCTCTTCTACATATCCAACGGGCTGGCGGCCTTCTCGGCTCTCCACACAAATGTTTCGAGCTCGAATCCCTCTTTCCTTCACCTGACTGTGCCGTGGGTTCTCATCTCTGGGGCCGTCGTCCAGGTCTACGTCGGCCGCCTGCAGGTTACAGACAGTGGCCGTTTCGGGTCGGTCATTTCATCCGTCTACGTGGCAGTTTGGGCCACCTGGACCTGGTTCAGGTTTGGAGGTACATCCGTACGTGTAAACATGCTCTCATGAAGACCTGAGATAAAAACAAAACACAAACAAATGATGAGGTTTTTATTCCAGGTCAGCTGTTGAATCTCTCCCCTGAAGCCTCCTATGGTTTCGCCGCTGGAGCCGTTGCATTCTTGGTTCTTAATGTTTTCGTCATGTTGATCGGTTCGTCATGTTTTCTAAAATAAATATGAATCCCATATTTTTTAACATGTTCTACATTCTTTTGATTGATTCCATTTTATGACTTTATCCCAGCTGCCGGCAGGAACATGACTCTGCTGCTCCTGACCACCGTCATGGAGGTGTTGCTGGTTTGTTTCCTGTTGTCTGCGCTGCAGCGACTGCCCTACGAGCTGGAAAGTCAGCGCTGCTTTGTTTTTATAAACATTATTTTGTAAAGTTTTTATCTATGGAAAATAAAAAAGTTCAAACTGATGTCCTTCTTCCAGTGGCCATGCTTGCTCTGTTTTCGACTGTTTGTGCGTATGGAGCTCTGGCGTCACTGGTGAACGTCGTCTTCTCCCAGAGACTCCTGCCGCTGGGTCCTTCCATGTTCCAGGTTGGTATCAGTCGAACCAATCAGTCTGTGTCAGAAATCCAGTGTTTTTTTACTTCCACGCTCTCATGCTTTTCAGGTTCTTTCGAGGTGTGGCCTGATTCTGGAGAACGAGAAGAAGGAAACGTCTCCGGAGCCGCCGTGTCCTGTCGCTGATTCCAGACTCACCAGTGGCCTCCTGAAGATCGCTGGTCTTCTGGAACAAGGCAGAGTGTGTGGCATTCCCACGGACACGGTCTACGCACTTGCCGCCTCCTGCAAAAATCCACAGGCTATAGAGAAGATCTACAACATTAAAGTGAGAACCAGAAATAGATCAGAACCTCCTGCCTTTGCTGAAACTCATCCTCCTGTCGTTTTTTTTGGTTGATTGCAGGACAGACCAGCAGAGAAGCCCGTCTGTATCTGCATCTCCAGTTTGGAGCAGCTGGTAGCGGCCGAGCCTCCCTTCAGTCCTCTGCTCTGGGAGTTCATGAGGAATGTGTATCCTGGTGGAATCAGCTGCATCGTCAGCAAAGGAGACTGGCTGTACAAACTGGGTAAACTGGGCCGTAGGAGCTGAGTTTAAACACCATGATTTCATTTAGGATTCAAGTTTGTTTGTCAAAAACAAAAGTATTTCTTTTTTTCTTTTGTTTTTTACAGGAGTAGGCCCAGCCTATGACCGCGTTGGTACCAGGGACAGTATCATGATCCGCGTTCCAGACCACACTGTGACTGGTCACCTTTGTGACGTGACTGGACCCCTTGCTATTACCTCAGCCAATCCCAGTGGGGAGGCTGACAGCACTCATCACACCATGGTCATCGAGTAAGGGACTCTTCATGAAGATCTCCTATCTCACCTCACGTCATGCCATTTTATCATCTCGTCTAATGTCTCTCTTTCACTCCATCTCATAGCATTTCCCCTCCTTGATTCTCATCTCTTTTTATTTCCAAATCTGTTCTCATCTCATTTTATCTTCATCTAATGTTCATCTTCTCTCATCCATGAGCGTTTCATTTTTTAACTTCATTTCCTCTTACTCATCTCATCATGTTGTGTTGCCCTCAGTCGACTCGGACACAAGATCCAAGGAGTCCTTTGCGACGGTTACTCAAATGAAGCCGTTGCTTCCACTGTGGTGAACTGTCTGAGGATTGATGAAGGTACGAGACACGTTTCCTTCTGCACTCTCTCCATAATTCATCTCTTTTTTTTTTTTAAATTTCCTCCAGCTCAGGTCTGTATTTCTGTCCCACAGGGGTCATCAGTATTCTGAGGGAAGGCTGCGTTCCTGCAGTAAAAGTCAGGCAGATCTTTGAGCGAGTGAAAAACATGACACCATGATCTTCACCTCACATCATCTGTTCTGTGAAGAACTGAAGAGCTCTGTGGGAACGAATCCTAATGAAAATGAAGATTTGTGAACATAAGCCATGGGATGTTGATGTTGTTGTTGTGAAAATGCAGTAGTGGTGTGTAAATGTATTTATTGTAACCAGGTGGATGTTATATCAGTATCATCTTTATTTATATTATGTACAATAAAAGCTTAAAACCAAACAGACGTGTTGATGGATTCACTTCAACAAATAATTACATTTAAACTTCGAGACGAGGAAATAAAAAATATATAATCAAGTGTCGGGAAAACATGACTTTCTGCCAGTAATCATCAACTGGTTGCTTGCAGGCAGAATCTGAACCGTGACTGGATTCCAAAATAATAATGTCACATATTAATGTTAGACAAAGAGTGTTCATAAACATTCTGGCCCATAATAAGGATTTATGAAGATTGACCTTGATAATCTACATACCTTAATATGAAAAAAGAAAAAAAAAATTTTTTTTCTGTATATAACTACAACAGAAAGACAAATGTCAACACATACACGTTGTCCTCAACGACCTTTTCCCCCTATTTCCTCATTTTTCTCTTGTTTCCCCCCTGCTGCAGATGAATGCACTCTCTGAGTCTGAATCTGCTGGTTAAAGTCACATGTTGCCTCTACTGTTGAAAATTCTTGGTCATTTAATGTATTTTCATTGGTTTGAAAAATAAAATATATAAAAACGATTTCATTTATTAAATTGAAGTCCAGGATGTAATGAGAAATAATGTTTTGTTATTCTAAACCAGTAAAATACATTAACTGGATTTCCTTGATGACCTTCGCACTTGGATGGTTGTGTAATGGTTGTATTTCTTTGTCCACGTCTGGACAATAAAGGAGTAGGAAACCAATACAATGGGTCATCAGAAATTATAAGGATATATTATGAAGATTAACATTTACCAAATAGTACATCCTTATTGGATTTTCTTCAGTGCTGCACCATAAAAACTATGTACGGTGACCGTTAGGAAGTGTCTACACCTTCCTTATTGTTTAGTGTATGACAAATCCCACGTACCTTAGTTTTCACGTAACCTCATGGAGTTCCCCGTTTAACAACCATTTTTTATATCAAACAAGGAAACTGCGACAATTGATTTTTCAGGAATCCTGTGAAAAGTTCCTGGAGTTCGTCATACTAACACAATACAGTAGCTTGACAAGGAGTTAACGTTAATGAATGAAAACCTCATCAGTCCAGTCTGACTCAGTGGACAGATTGTCTTTAAATGAAGTAATTTATTAATTATTTCACAGCAGCCTGGTACCAAATGAACTGGTCCAGGAGTTTGGACCTCTGACCTCGGTGGGCCCAAACATGGTCATGTTCATTTTAAAACATTATCCCATTCTGTTAGCATCTTTTTAGCATGTGGAGGGACAAAAAGGCGGTCAATGCTTTGAGGGGTGGCCATCAGTTGGGCCCCCCCTTGGCCCCACCACTGCCACTGGCAGCATTTCTATGCTCATACGACACATCAACCTTGTACAGCCATAATACTTTGGGGTGAAAACCAAACCTCTGTTTTCTGACCTCATCTCTTTGTTTGCAGTAGAAATTAAACATTTCTAAATGTTTCTAAAATAACAGCGAACACAAGCAGGAAGTGTTTATTATAATTGCACGTTCAGGAAATCTGTCAACGGAGGAGGAGGAAGGAGCAGTGAAGGAACAATACAAGATTCTGTTACTGGTGGTGACACCATGTCTGTCTAGTCATCAGTGATTAGCTACTATAACAATACGGACCTAAGCCACTAACTTACCTAATGTTTTGACTGAGAATGAGTTATAAAATGTATGACAAATGATAAAATTAAAAACTTCAAATGTATTTGTCAACTTTAAAAATGAATCAATGAATGGAATATATTATAATCTTTCGTTTTTATTTTTATTTTTACCATACAACCTTTCCTAAGACAAGGTTCATGTGTTTTGTTTGTTTAAAAATATTTTTTAAAATTAATTGTATTTTTAGTGGAATGGGTGACTACTACAGTAATAAACAAATAAACATGGTTTTGTTAATGGACTTTTAACATGTATAAATATGTGTATGTATATTATCTATTATATTATATTATATTATATTATATTATATTATATTGTTAATTTACTTCAAATCCAAAGAAATGCATTTTGGTATTCTAGTATTTCATGTTCACTCATATAGAGTTTTATGTGGCTTTGAAGATATTCTTTTCCAGGGAAACACGTACGTTCCATCTGATGTTGTCTGTTTCAACAATATGAGTTTTGACAATTTTAGGAATGATTTATCCCGATTAATCATGATTAATCCTTATTGATCATGAATAATCCACAGCTACATGAAGTTGGATTAATCCATATATATGTATATATCTATATATATATGGATGTGTATTTATATTTATATAATGTATATACTGTAATGTGATTTGCCTTTATTTATTTATTTAAACACCTATTGATATTTTTTTATTGCACCAAACCAATATATTTATTTTATTGAAGCATTTCAGGCACAGTAGATGTAATTAAATTTATTCTTTTAATTTCCACATATTGCAACAGTTAACACATTTGTAATTAAATGCAGAAAATACATAACAAAAAAACAAGAAATAATTCAATTACAGAATTAAAACTTATATACTTTACAGTAAAAAACTTTTTTTTTTTCATCATGTTCATTAACAAGATTTTTTTTTTCACTGGGAACTACAGTTCCATCTGTACACCTCTTATGAACCGAGGTCGTCCCTTGAATCTGTCGGTTCTGCCTCATCCTCAAACGCTGGGTTGTTCTGCCCTCGTCTGTGTTTCCTCTGAACCTCCTCAAAGATCTGAAGAACCTTCCGGGTGAACAAACAAAGCATGTGACATCAATTTGAGGAAGAAGCTTGAATTAAATACGAGAGAGAAAACAAACGTCAACGTTTTACCTTCGACTTAGGAATGAGGCCCACTCTGAAGAAACCGATCTGTCCCGCCTCGATCTTGGTGCAGTCGACCACAGTGGACGCGATGTTCTCTGGGGACGGGCCGTCACACAGAACACCGTCCACCTGAACAAGAACAAGTACATATAGTTTATTTTAAAATATCGCTAATTGCTTGTATATAATATCTTGTATTTAATATTTAATAATGTATTTACCTTGTCTCCTAGTTTGGCGTAAACCTGGTTGTGGTGAGTTGTGTCGGCCTCGCCCGTAGGATTGGCAGAAGTTACAGCAATCGGTCCCACCTACGGGGATTACAAGTCACTGCATCAGCTGACATTACTGCCCGCAGGGTTGTTTTGACCCTGGAGGAACGTTCTTCAGGCCTCACCAGATTCATGAGGTGGGTGGCCACGGCACAGTCTGGGTTTCTGAGAGCAATACTTTGGGGAGTACCGATGTGTTTGGCAGCATCTCCCAAACCGAAAGCCTCCATCCACGGACCTGCGTAAGGAAGACAATTCACCAGCATGATGGATGCTGTACACCCCGCTTCCAGCAGGTGGCACATTGACACCAAATTGACACCCTACCTCTGGGTATAACCATGCTAATAGAGGAAGGCCAGGCCGCCTCCATGAAGTCCAGCAACAGGGGACTCAGCAGGTGGCGCACCGGCTGCAGCTGCGCGATGGAGGAGATCCACATGGACATGGGTCGATCCTGAGCCTGTTTCTTCACACTGAAGACAGTCATTGGTTTTTTAGAAACATTTTTTGTAAATGTGGATTATTATATGGTTATAAAAACTCACTTGTAAGCTTTGACAACCGCATCAGGCCTGTTGCACGCAGCCACCAGCACATAGACGGTGTCAGTAGGCATTCCACATATGCCACCGTTCTGCATGATCTCTGCAGATGTGTCAAAGGAAAAGTCCAAATGAATTACCGTATTTTCCAGACTGAGTCGCATGTTTTTCATCCTTTGGCTGAGCTTGCGACTTATACTCAGGACTTATACTTATATATTAAAATAATGCAACTTCTTCTGCTCAATCTCACCTGCAATCTGATGGACGGAGGAGACCTTACGAGCTGGAAGGTGTGGACAGACTTGAGAGCCTCCCCCGACTCCACTTAGTTTAACCAGGGGTCTTCCTAAAGGGATCTGCGGGGACTGGAAGGTGCTGTTGAATATGTGGCCCAGGAAACAATAAAAACTGACCAGACCGAAAATGACGGTGACGCCGATGTCATAGCCGTAAGGCAGAGCATCCACTGCGTCCAAAAGGAAGCTAACGAGGATGAGCTGGAAGGTGAAGGTGTAGACGAACCAGGCAGCGTTTAAGAACAAGGCTGCAGCTGTCACTAAACAGTTGAAGAGCATAAAGCTCATGACGCCAACGGCCACATTGAAGCCTCTGGTATCCCCGTACAAACCCCCGTATCGTGTCAACCCCCACACGCTCCACATCATCCCGTAGAGGATAAAAACCGTGCTCTCGAAAGTTTTACCACGAGCAAATGCTACTGAGCCGCAGAGCAGCTGGAGCACCCCGCCAGCCACCACCACCCAGGGCAGAACCAGCACCGACAGAGGACTTTGGTCCCGGGCGGTAGCTGTGACAGCAAACGCTGCCAACACGTTGCAGGCATGGCCCAGCACCTCCGCGTCGGCATATTTAGAGTAGCCCAGGTGGGGTGTATGCAGCTCTTTATCATGTTCCCTGAGACTAAGACCCTGCATCCTGTCAACTAAAGCCTTGAAATAGCCTTGACCTGTGGGGATCTTGGTTCCTGACACCATGTTAAATGCAGTAACTAAAAGCATTATGGCAGAGACAACAAACATAGCCGCCTGGACACCTTGGGTTCCTGCTTGATGGAAGCCTTGAGGTTGGGCTGCGATGGCAATGCAATAAACTCCAAAGAAGGACCGGTGGAGTCCCTCCAGTAAACTCTCCTGACAGCTGAACAGGGCCAGGATGAAAAACAAGACAGAAAACACAACAGGGAAAGGAACTGCAGACAAAGGCTGTATTGAGTAGAAGGACAAGAGGGCGCTATAACCCTCTGCAAATTTTAACAGAGCAGTGAAGCCGTAAAAAGTGGCGGCGAGTGTGTCCATAGCTCTGTAACAGACGGCACAGACGCCGAGCTGGACGACACCGGCCGTCCACAGCCACGGGACATGTCCAGTGGACAGCCGAGGGACCACACCTAACAGGGGACAGGCGATGACGGAGGCCGACAGCAGGTTCATCACCAGACCTACGGAAACTGCATCACTGCTCCTCTGGTCCTGATCTCTGTTCAGTCCAGTTTTTTTTGTCAGACTAATTCCCGGAGGCTTCACTTTACCCTGGGTAATAATGGAGAGCAGGTGTCCAAAACCATAGTAAACACCAACCAGACAGACCAGGAGGTAGTTAGAGGCCATGGCTGACTGACAGTCAGCAGACAGACTGGAAATTTGATGGGCACATGCTAGGCTAATCCCAACAGCTAAGACACCAAACACTACTTTCTTTAGAAAAAGTTCAACGATGCCTATGATGAGCAGAGCCAAGGTAAACGCTGCAAGACCAGGGACCAGGGACGCCCTGAGCTCTGTGGGCTGCACCACTTCCTGTCCCACCAGGATGTAAACAAGACCGGAGCCACACCACAGAGCAGAGACAGTCAGGCACAGAGACGAAAACAGCTGAGTGTGGGACAGACTGTGACAGACACCTGTGGACGGAGAGACGGAGACGGCAGGTTATACTCAACCAGACACAGACAAACATACGGACATAAACAAAGCAACATGGGACATAACTGACCTGTATATGCTAAGAGGGCTGAGATGATGAGAAGCAGAATGCCCAGTGCATTGTGGGGGATGAAGTCTTTGTCTGGGGAGCTGGCATAGCCGTTCACCAACAGCAGAAGAGAGCCTACAAGTACAAACAATTCATTTTACGGAGTCACCACCCTGAAAATGAAATCATGTGCAATCAAAGGCCATTGAACACAGACTTGGAATCGAACCCACAACCTTTAGTTAAAAACTAACAATATTATCCACTCAACAACAGGTGGAATGTCCCAAAGATTTGTTTATTTCATTTCTTGTTCGTGCGTTTTGTTATACAGATACCGAAACCCTTCCGTAACAAAATATAAGACGACATAAATATATAAAAATATATATAGACAACATTCAGATGGACAATATTCAAACACAAAACATTCATGGATGTATTAAATTATATTAAAATAAATGGCTTTATATATGTATATATATTTAAATATATATTATTAAAAAACAAGTAAATCAACCACATTAATGCAAACGTTTGCTAAATTAAATATATATTTAATTTAGCAAACGTTTGCATTAATGTGGTTGATTTACTTGTTTTTTAATAATATATATTTAAATATATATTATTAAAAAACATGTAAATCAACCACATTAATGCAAACGTTTGCTAAATTAAATATATATTTAATTTAGCAAACGTTTGCATTAATGTGGTTGATTTACATGTTTTTTAATAATATATATTTAAATATATATTATTAAAAAACATGTACATCAACCACATTATGGCAAACGTTTGCTAAATTAAATATATATTTAATTTAGCAAACGTTTGCATTAATGTGGTTGATTTACTTGTTTTTTAATAATATATATTTAAATATATATTATTAAAAAACAAGTAAATCAACCACATTAATGCAAACGTTTGCTAAATTAAATATATATTTAATTTAGCAAACGTTTGCATTAATGTGGTTGATTTACTTGTTTTTTAATAATATATATTTAAATATATATTATTAAAAAACATGTAAATCAACCACATTAATGCAAACGTTTGCTAAATTAAATATATATTTAATGAAGTATATGTTATGTTTACTTTCACTATTGCTGCTGCTACTAATTTCACTACCACTCACAGTAATAATAATAATAACAATAATAATAATAATAATAATGTTTTTTAAAATGACAATAATATTACACATTAAATCATATCAGCAACATTTGTATTTCAGATTTATTTATTATTGTGGTCGAAATTTAAAACAAAAATAAAAATTATTAGACAAAATCACAACATACCAGCAGCGATGCCCAGGACGCCCACAGAGACGTGCGGAGAGCGACGCTGTGTCATGACTGCAGTGAGTAAAGCGAAGGTGACGCTGCGCTTTATACCCGTGCTGTGACGTCAGCACGTCGGCGAGAGAAACCTGAGAGTGGACAGTAACGCCTGTAGAGGGAAATAACACAGAGCGGAGACAGAAGCTGCTTTTATAATCTGTCCTTTCAGCCTCGGCGGCCCCTTCACACCCACTCGGAAATGTTGCAACTTTGGAAGTATTCAGGAAAGTAACACGCTGATTTATATGTATCTGTAAATTTCTAGATATATCATATATAACATAATAAGAGAGAAATTCAAATGAATTATAATTTAATTCATCGCAATACAAGTACTTTAATATTTGCCACTTTATACTTGGAAATAAAGGTGTCAAAAATGAACAATATTAAAAAAATGAAATGAAAAAAACGAATTTCACAGAAATAGATTACGTGATTAAATTTGTGAAAAGAGAATAATTATATATAATATATAATAAATAGAAAGTAGAATAAATAAAAACACTTGTGATACTTGTGACATAAATACATATTGTACAAATGTAGCAAGCAAAGCTCTCTCTCTCTCTCTCTATAAACTTTATACACTTTTTTCAACCAACAATTAGGTGAAGATTGAGGGACAGATCCTACGTGACACGGCCCATCAATGACATGGTCGTCAGTCCATATATGGACACAAAGAGCGCTCATACCTTTCTTCTTTTTTCTCTTCTTATTTCATCTTTACAGTATTAATCTTCTCACTGTAACTCGCTCATCTAAAGTGCCAACTTCACCTGTTTATCCATCAATAAATCAGCTGTGCAATGTGATCATGTTAATTGTTTGAAACACCTTCAGTTTGGAAGGACTTGATGACATCATCAACTGCCTCCAGGTTTCCAGTAAGGTGTGTGGCATAATCCCTCCTGGGAGGCAGCTACTGTGGGAGGAGACAGGAGAGAGGAGGAGCAGGAAGTCCAAGACTATATAAAGACTCCGACCTCAGAGCTCCACTAACACAACAGTGAAGACAGTGAAGGTAAGGCAGACAATTTCAAATTTACACCTATTCTAATATAGTTTAATTTAAAAAACTGAATCTGAGGTCAGGTGCATAGTCTTGCATTTATCAAAATCTTTTATTCCAGAAAGTTTTTAATAGATTTTGTTACTTCTCATTACTTAGGGTAGCCTTGTTTTTACCAGCAGCAGCAGCAGGAGGAGAAGAAAACTGTCGTGTCATGTAGGGATGTAAATGTTTAATGTTAACAACAACAACAACATCAGGTGATCACAGATCAGTGACCGAGGAATGGATTAAGACAGAAGTGTGAATTTGTGATCACAGATCAGTGACCGAGGAATGACAGAAGTGTGAATTTAAAAAAAAGAGAAGATTTTGAGGTTCAAATAATCTCTACACTGATGTACTCCCTCTGTCTCACCCACTCTGTCTCACCCTCTGTGACAGAAGTCATGGCCAAACGTGTTGCTGTCATCCTCTCCGGCTGTGGTGTCTACGACGGCACCGAGGTCCACGAGGCCTCGGCCGTCCTCGTCCACCTGAGCCGTGCAGGAGCCAAGGTAACGCAGCAGAGCAGTTCAACTCTTCTGCTTCTCTGTATTTACAGTTCATCCACCTCACAAACGTCACAGAGTTTAACACGGTGTTCTCCCTCAGGTGCAGATGTTTGCTCCCAATGCGGATCAGATGCACGTTGTCAACCACTGTGAGGGGAAACCGACAGGGGAGAAAAGAAACATCCTGCAGGAAAGTGCACGCATCGCCAGGGGTGAGGTGACTGATCTGGCCAAGATGGACATGTCAGCTTTTGATGCTGCGATCATCCCAGGTGAGGGGAGGCGGCTTCTTCACCACTCTTCACTTTTTCAACTTTCATTTTATTAATTTACAACTGCATATGCTGAAGAGATCTTTTCTGTTTTCTCCAGGTGGCTTCGGCGTGGCTAAAAACCTCAGTGACTTTGCAGTGAAGAATAAAGATTGCACTGTTCAGCCCCAAGTGGAAAACCTCATCAAGACGTTCCACAAAGCCAAAAAACCACTGGGAATGTGTTGCATTTCTCCCGTCCTTGCGGCTAAAATCCTGCCTGGATGTGAGGTGACCGTGGGGCAGGACAAAGACGGCGACAAGTGAGTGGAGTAATGGATTTTCTTACTAAAAACTAAACTGGGTTCTCAGTCTCTAACCCTGGTCTCTGCCTCTCCCCCCTCTGTGCCCCCCTCCTCCCCTCAGGTGGCCTTATGCTCAGACAGCAGGTGTGGTAAAGGAGATGGGCTGCAAACATGTGAATAAAGATGTGGACCAAGCTCACGTCGACGTGAAGAACAAGCTGGTCACCACCTGTGCTTTTATGGCCAATGCTCCCATTCACCAGGTGTTTGATGGCATCGGGGTCTTAGTTAAAGAAGTACTGGAGCTGGCTGCTACTGCGTTTTAACTCTTTGACTTTTTTTACTGTCATAAAGCATTGTGCTGTACCTTTAATTAATAATTGAACTTTATATAAGAGATTTTTGTTTGTGATTTTCAATAAATCAAATATCAAAGTTAGGCTTTACTATGGTTGTTTTTCTCAACTAAAATAATGCATTTTAATTTACAAATGATCATTAGTTAATACTAAATATGCATACATAGAAATAGTAACATGATATTATAAGCATTATGTGATTTATCTAAGGATTTGTGCAAATATATTCATTTTAGCAAAAAATGGTAGAGATGTATGAAAAAAGTTCATTATTTTTTTTATATTTGTAAAATTAAACAGATTCATTTATTTATGTGTCTGCCTTCAATAAACTGAACCCAGAATTCATCAGCATTAACAAAACTTTTTTATCAAGTGTACTGACAATTTCAGAGATAACAAGTTGTCACAGTTCAAATCATGACATTATATTAAAAAAAGAAATTCTCTTTCAATGTGTATCATTTATTTTGTATTTAATAATTTGAACAGGTAGAGAAGGTGTGAAGTGCTACTCATTATCAGTGTCCAAAAAACAAACAAATAAACAAAACCCCAAAAGACTTTACTTTATTTATACTTTTATGATTAATTTCATTCAGTAAAAGCTGTTGTATATAAATAAAACTATATCGAAAAATATATTTCTAGAGTCTGTAAATAAATATAAATCAAATGTAACAATATGTTACATGTACAAACCATATTTTTTTATTTTCATGCTACCTTCATTTAGTTAGCATCTGTTAGCATTAACAGGCTGATAAAGAATGGGCAGATTTATAAAAAAAAAAAGCTTATTTTATTGATTCGTGATTTTTTTTTATGATTATCATTCAACAGTTGCTCTACTTCGTTTTTCTCCAGTCTGACTCTTTGTCATTGCTGGAACGTTTGGGACTTGGAGGTTGACGCGCCTTTCTTCTCTCCGCGCTTTGTGACCTTTTGTCGTCTCCTTGTGGCTGATGTGCGTTATTACATCGGTGGACGAGCATTGGATCCTTGTTTGGATGCGTTTTCTTCAACAGCAGCCTCTGTAACACCTGCTTGTCAGACCGCTCTCTTCGGAAATCATCTTCGTACACTTTCAGCTGTACGGTAAATAATGACAAAATTGTTAAGATGATTGGATTAAAACTTTTTCACCAAAGTTGTTTGTTTTTAAGTTAAAATATGCGTGGTTAGAAAAAAGAAGCAAACGCCAGGTCCTAAAAAAATACTTTTTTTGTATTTTTGGATCTACGATACATATCGTTTTTGTACGATAAATATTTCCTTTTTACATGTAAGATTGACAAATAATTAGAAAAATCCCATGATGTTTACATCAATTCATTTGACCCCTTTAATCCCATTCATTAGCGCGTACCTACTGCGTTTGTTTATACTCATCACCTCACGTGCATCGCTTCAGCCAATCAAAGCACGACCTCGAACCTGAGGAAGCACATTGTCAAAACGTAGCGCGTGCAGCAGGGGAAACTTCACAGTAGATAATTATATACACGGCATATCACGGCGTGTTTATATTGGTCACTTATCATAATAATTTAAATACGGTCATTTCAGACCGTTGCTACAATACTTCAACAAATAATATTCTGACAACGTTGAGCAACGGTTAAGTTGCTCAAGAGGGAAACTTCTCCAAACCCCAAATTACTGCTGCAGGTGAAGAAGAACCTCTGGGCAGCGACTGTGCACCTGACGCGTGCACTAGCCTTAGAGGAGCTTTGAGTGGCAGAAATAGTTTGTTTAATAACAGTATTATGTAAACAATATTAGCGTCGTGAAGCGTTCGTTTGTCTCCACCTGGTGTCACAACCGATACTACCATGTCAGAGGGCAGCCTCGTGTTTGGGTCATGGTCGTGGACTTGGGGAAACTATCGAAGGTGATCCGGTTCACTTGAATCAAAGTCAGTGAAACAATTCAACTGGATCGTCCGAGTCCGATGACCGGTTCGATGCAAAGATTCGATTCATCGCCCAGGAGTTTGAGCAGGAATAAAGCACAGACTTCAAACTGCAACAGAGATACCACCGGGACTGGAGCCGAATCTGCACAAATCAATCTGAAGACACTGCTGGTCAGAGGTTTATCAGCAACCAGCGCCGCCTGCAGTTACCCTAAAGGTAAGACATGTTATTTATATCTTTATTGATGCCAGCCTGGGCTTTAGTTGTTATTTTTATGTTGCGTTACATGTGAAACTTTGTGTGAGTTCTTATTTATTTATTTTTTTTATGATTGTGGACATGTGTTCGCTTCTTAATGACGTTGATTTACGGTTGTGGACGGAAGAGACTGACGGTTGAATATTGTGTGTTTAGTGTGTGATGGAGCAAAGGGCAGATGTACTGCATATGATGTGGTAGTGGGTTGTTGACGTCATATTTTGAATTTCATTTCGGGGTCATTTGCTGTGACCGCTGAGACCATTGTTGTGATTGAGAGCTACACATCATTTTCTAAATGTTGAAGCCTGGTATATTGTTGGTCAAAACATGGAATCGGTCCCTTGAAAATAAGCTTGACTCTAAAAAAAAGTTTGTTTTGCAGCAAAATAAAGATCCTTGAATATTCTTCCAAGTCCTTTCAGGATTATCTAGATAGATATAGAAGAGAGCATTGTTCCTTATAATTTGGTCGCCTCTGTAGCTGGATCTCTCTCCAGTTCTGCTTGTGTGGGACAAATTTGTCAAATCAGTCACCAAAGTGTGTCCCATGAATCAACAGTCTCACAGTAATGAACTGAAGAAGCTTCAAATGCAATTTTGGGCATGTGCTTTAAAAAAGTGTGTCCCATGAATCAACAGTCTCAACAGTCTTTGTGCTTTAATTTTGTCTTTCACCCAAACTTTTGACCTATTCCTTTTAGTTTTCTTTTTTTGCAAAGTATGATTTATTTTTTGTGCTTTAATTTTGTCTTTCTCCCAAACTTTTGACCTGTAGTCTCTCCCTGCTCTTGGCTGGTAGCACCAGGTTTTCTCATAATTGTTTTTCTACCTAAACTTATTAACTTTCCTGCACCTTAGTCTGTGTCTGAGCTGCAGAAGTGTGTAACTTTTTTTTAAAGTTTATCATCATTGGTAGTGATAGGTCACAAAATACCTGTTCTTGCAGTAGTGCCACCTGGTGGCGCATCTCCTCCCTCTTCTCCCTCAGCCTCCGATTCTCCTCCAGTGTCTGTTTGTGGTCCTGGTGCTTCGTCTGATACTCCTCTTCATAAATCTGAGTCTGCTGACACAAGACATCACCGTGACACTAAATCAAAGACATATTTGGGATGTGTTGATACAGTGGTTTCCCCTCCGTCGACAGCGATAGTCTGTCAGAGCGTACCCAGAGCCGCCACTTGGAGGCGTTATTTACCATCTGTTTCAAGTCCCCTTCTAAGCATTAAGCAAATCTTCCCCTGGCAACAGTAACTTGACATCAGTTCTGCCTCAGTCCCGTCAGACGTGAGGACATTTTTTTTTTTTGCTCGTAAGTAGAGAGCAGCTCACCTGACACCTCAGCGCCTCCAGCTGCTCCTTTAGATCCTGCACTTCTTGCTGGGTGTCGCCCAGTGGGGCACTGGTGCCCTGGCTTCTCCCCAGCCCCCTTGCCTCTGCACATGAAGAAGCAGGTAAAAAGGGTGAGGAGGAGTTGTATTGAGAGAAGAGGCTGGGTGACAGGTGGGGCCCGGGGGGAGGGTTACCAGTGGGGCATGACAGAGTGCCATTCACCGCGCCTCTGAAGCTGCCCTGAGAGGAGACAAAGTGATGATTGACACAGGAGTCACAGAGAAAAAAAGTCCTGAGTGAATATTTTCATACTGATGAGGCTCATCCACTCACTGACAGCTGCGCTACCTGTTTGGCAGCAGAGGCGGCTCTGTCGGGGGGTGGCGTCCTTCTCTCCAGCATTCGGATGTATTCCTGCAGCTCCTGGTTTTTCCTCAGCTCCTGCATCAGAGCTTGTTCGTAATAGTCCTTGGCGCTCTGCAGGGAAAAAGGTCAACGTGTTAAAATGTAAATTCTTGATCTAATTT